TTTTTTTTTTCTGGAAGGGTCACTCCTGGAGTGCTTGGCTCATCAGCCCAGTATTGGACCCTGGTCCCCAGCAGGACCCTGGTATCCTATGGAGAGGATCAGCCTGGAGATCCAAGTTGGTTTTATTTTTAGAAATAAAGACCAATGCTGTCTTGGCTTGTGGAGACCTGTTCAGAGAATGAAGACAGGGAAAGGCCTCATACTTTACCAGAGTTCAAGGTGGAGTAAGGTAACATGGCTACAAAACTGAATTACCGGGGCTGGGTGCACTCAGCGGTAGAGTGTCTGGCATGAGAGGCCCTGGGTTGCGCCCCCAACAATGTAAAACAAAATAACAAAAACCCCGGATTATTGTCAGGAACGTTCCCTTTTGATGCAAAGATTGACCTTGTCTTCCCAATGGTCTGTCCCTGGAGCCAGGGCTAAGTGATCCCAAACACCCCTCTGTGTTTTTGTCCTGGGTGTTTTTGGACGATACCTCACACCAGACACAAATGTGTACCATCTTTTGTCTTCTGGTTTGTAAGACAGAGGAGTTGTCTTCTGTAATTGATCCCCAGCCTGCAGTCCAGTTAATAGGATCTTCTTTTTTTTTTTTTTTTTTATAAAATTCAAAAATCAAAATAGGGCTGCAAATGGAAAATGCTTCCTTTTTTTTTGTTTTTTTCCATTTTTCTTTTATTATTCATATGTGCATACAAGGCTTGGTTCATTTCTCCCCCCTGCCCCCACCCCCTCCCTTACCACCCACTCCACCCCCTCCCGCTCCCCCCCTCAATACCCAGCAGAAACTATTTTGCCCTTATCTCTAATTTTGTTGTAGAGAGAGTATAAGCAATAATAGGAAGGAACAAGGGGTTTTGCTGGTTGAGATAAGGATAGCTATACAGGGCATTGACTCACATTGATTTCCTGTGCATGGGTGTTACCTTCTAGGTTAATTCTTTTTGATCTAACCTTTTCTCTAGTTCCTGGTCCCCTTTTCCTATTGGCCTCAGTTGCTTTAAGGTATCTGCTTTAGTTTCTCTGCATTAAGGGTAACAAATGCTAGCTAGTTTTTTAGGTGTCTTACCTATCCTCACCCCTCCCTTGTGTGCTCTCGCTTTTAGCATGTGCTCATAGTCCAATCCCCTTGTTGTGTTTGCCCTTGATCTAATGTCCACATATGAGGGAGAACATACGATTTTTGGTCTTTTGAGCCAGGCTAACCTCACTCAGAATGATGTTCTCCAATTCCATCCATTTACCAGCGAATGATAACATTTCGTTCTTCTTCATGGCTGCATAAAATTCCATTGTGTATAGATACCACATTTTCTTAATCCATTCGTCAGCGGTGGGGCATCTTGGCTGTTTCCATAACTTGGCTATTGTGAACAGTGCCGCAATAAACATGGGTGTGCAAGTGCCTTTTTAAAAGGAAAATTAGAGCACCTTCTCAATAAGAGACACCATTAACATGAACCTAGAGGATAGCATTATATGGAAGATGTTTTTGCAAACACTCATTATACACTTGGCAGGCCTAAGGAAAGTTCAAGAAAAGACTAATGTTAACCTTTTCGCTACTCTTCTAAAAACTATCTTAAAAGTCATATGATTAGTGGTTTATTTCCACAGATTAGTAGAAATAAAAATTGCAGGAATATTATAGCTCGTATAGTTAAGACATTATAGGCTTCCTGCTATTTCTTTTTTCTTTTTTGATCTTCTAAGAAAGACTGTTATGTTCATTCAGCAGCCCTTAGTTGTGGCACAGCAGGATTTTTTTTGTAGTTCTCTGGAATTATTGGTAATAATGGAGCTTTGAAGCCTTAGCTCCTTCACAGGCTGGTGTGGAGGTTGTATGACCAGGGGATGAAACTTAGCTGTATGAGTCAGTAGCAAGGTACAAGGAGCTAAACAAAGCAGAGAAAACACGGAGGAAAGAAGCTGGACCATGCTTTCCACAAACCTGGGCTACAAGTGGAGAACCCATGGACTCCCAAGGAGCCTGCTACTAGTGCTATTCTGTTGGCACATTTAACAGTTGCTGTAGTGGACCTCGGAAGCTATATGTCTATTTTTGTTGGAGGCTATTCCACCATAAATCTTACACTGTTCACACCTGTGTGCTAAGACAGCATTCTTCTTATGGCCATGTACCTCCTACAGGGCTGTTTCTCAGAGGCTATTGATCATGTCTCAAGGTCTGATGGACTTAAAAAGAATTTGAACTTGGATGTGGATTGTTATGGTGGCTTTTGAGACTTGTTCCAAATCTATCCCACTGTGAACGAGCTCTGTTGAGACACAGGACCCCCCCTCCCACCAGCCTGTATCACCCTGTCTTTCTCATTGGTCAGTGGCTCATCAGCCCCGCTCTCTCCTTGCTTTGCTGACTTTACAGGTACAAACAATCACAATAGTTTCTTTATCAAAAGCTGTAGGTCCTCATCGTTTCATCATCAACATTACTTTAGTCCAGGCTGAGAATCATATTCAGTATGAACACTCACAACTTTGACTTTCACATTAAAATCTGGAAGCCTTTGATTTTCATTTTAAGAGCCAGATATTTGTAAAATAAAATATTTAGAGGGAAGTGGTTAAAGAGGTAGATTTCAAGATCTTACCTTGAATACCAAGACTCAGAATAGCATTTAAACAGTAAGCCAGAGAGTGGAGAAGAATGTGTATGTATGTAATAGACAATTTTCTACCACACAAAGAGCAGATTCTGGGCTGGAGAGAGGAGAAGGGTTTCCACGTTGGCCAGGACACTTGGGCTACCATTTACCATAAGGCTCTTTGTGTGAATTAGAAAAAAACACTCCTTCCTCAGGACATATGATTTCTATTTTCCAGAAAATCATCATATTAAATGCACAAATCAATGATGCCCGAGATGTGATGCTATTGTGAAGTATGTAACCATTTCATGAAGGCCCTGGGGACACACACTGTTGCCTGCCTGCTCCCATGGGTAAAAGATGTAGATGGAAAAGGAGTTGAAATTCTTCAGTAGGCTGGTGATCTGAGAGCAGAAGAGAGCCAGGCTCCTAGAAGGAGGCAGTCTCAGCTTCCTCACTAGCATGAAGTTGTAGCAGAGAAGAAACTGGAAGCTAACCTGAGGTTGGAGCCAGGTCACAGGTCTCAATTCCTTTTTTTTTTTTGAATCATCATGCTAGGGGTACATTGTGATGTTTATATAAGTTCTTGCCGTGTATCATAGTTGAAGAAATCCAGGGTGGCACTGAAGGCAGCTGAGGACTGGAACTCTGCAAAGCCACTATGTCCAGGAAAGCTGACTCCTAGCAGAAGCTGCAAAGAGACCAGAAGGGACAGGAGAATGTTGCTGACTCTGAGAATAGCAAGCCCCCACAAAAGCCACGGCTGGGACCAAACCTGGAGAGAGATGCTGAGCTTCTGGGGAACATTCACTGTGTGTAGCCGGTGCGTGAAGAGTCGCACGAGTGCAGATGCCCGCAGAGGAGCAAAGCAGCCCAGATGCCTTCATAGATGCCAGGATGATGGATCAATTCCTGAGGGACTTTGGTTACATTCAGGGAAATGAGGGGAGAGAACAGAGGACCATATTTGATAGTGATTGAGTTACCTTGAATTGGCAAGACTATCATCTCCCCTATTTATTTTAAAGACCATTATATTTTTGACCACTTGTATTTTGTAACTATGTGAATACCATGCCTGCCACACATAAAACACTCACTACGTATTTCTCAGGTGTCTGCTTCTATCCACGTTTCACCTCTCTTTTTGCTGCAGGCTAGGAATTTAGATTTCATAGTCAACCCCAAGAGGGACATTTAACTTGATAAAACTCACTTTTGCTTTTTAACCTTGAACTTTCCCCCTTCCTTTCAGCCTGTCTGTTCTCTTAGATTAACTAGTGGTAAATTTCGAGGAAGAACCTGGTTGTTTAAGAAATTAGAAGGGGGATTAATAACTAAAGTGGATCCCTGCACATGTGTCCATCGTGACAGTGAGAGAGTGGCCGGCGTCTTTATCACAACAGTGCTCAGACTTAAACCCCTGGAGACTGGAAAGGTGGAAAGATGAAAATCTCCTTGAATGTCCTTCTCCAAGTCTTTCACTTTGATTCAGGTCAAGTATGGAGTTTATAGTGTATACTGTTTAACCTGAAGAGTCATGAAATGTTTCACTTTCTAGGTTTATACTTAATCTTAACAACTTCAAATTTTAGATTCTGAA